TTTGCCAAAAACATTTGGCTGTCAAATGACAGCCGGTAGTTGCTGTGTAAATATAGCAGATACTACAGCTGTTTTAGCAGGCATTCTGACACGCAGTTTATAATCACTGTTCAGACAGGGGATTCAGAGATACAAAGTAACATAATTGTTACTTTTGTATTCGCTTTGTTCCATTCATCTGAGCTGTGATCTGCATATGCTGTCAGTTAAAGCAACCTGAAATAAAGGAAGCGTTTTGTTGCTCATAAACCCCTTATTAACCAGTGGTGTAATCTGGTCAGCCCTAATAAACTCCTTCCCTTCTCCCCCTTAGCTATTTTTTCCTGCTGTTTTTTCTTTTCTTTATTTTTCTATCATATTTACACTTTTATTTGTTAATTTATTTATTATTTTTGCATTTAAAAAGTCTTTATTTCATTTGTATAAACTTTGTAATGCTTTGTCACAAAATTAAACATTTTAATATGTACAAATTATAGAATAAACAGTATACTTTTTATTAGGGACGCACCGATACTGGGCAATTTCACAAATACTCGTACTCATGAAAACGCCCCAATACTAAGCGCCGATACTGGCATTTTACATTTTTAAAAAGCTTTGGCTGCCGTAAGTGTTGTTGGGAATGGAGGGAGGAGAGTGCTGTCAGCCTCCGACTCTCAGTTTGTGCTACATCTAGAAGCATGGAAGTACAGCCGGGTATACAGGGTTAGAATTTCATACAAATGTTCATACGAATAATCTCATCAGATCATTCGGTAATGCCATCAGAAAAATGACCAATGTGGTTTGAAATTTCACTTGACTTTATCATTCAATTCTGGAATTAATGGAGTTTCATGAACAAAAATCACATTCTGTTAGAAAATTTTGTTTGTTCAAGAAATTTTTTTACCATCCTGATCGTTTTTTTGTCAATGTGGTCTAAGGCTAAGTTCACACCAGGGCGATATGTGACCGCGCGGATGGCCATGCGGTCACGCAATCGCACACCCTCGCCCTGGCGGTGCCATTATTTTCTAATGGCAACCCAGTCGTGCCAGGCAGACTTTTGATCCCCATGGTCCCTGTGTGTGTTGTGAAGTAGCCACCGCTCCAAGCTCACTCCTGCGATGGACTACAATCTCAGGTTTAGTTTACTAATTTGTATTGAGATTATAGTCCATCACAGGAGCAAGTTTGGAGTGGTGACTACTTTACAACACACACAGGGACCATGGGGAACAAAAGTAGTCACCCTCCAGAAGGAAGGACAGTGTCAGCACCAATTCAGAGATAAATTGAGGATCTACAGCCGAGTGATACACATGCGTTGCGGTGGGATATTAGTAGTGCATGCTATGCTAAGGTTGACACAGCAGAGGAAATGTGGTCACTGAATGTGACTTACAGGTCTTGCCCTTAGCTCTGCCCATCTTCACCCTCTACTCCACCCATACATTTTGTAACTCTTCCCATCTCCATTCTCAGTTCTGCCTATACATTCCTCTATTTCACAATGCCTTATGGGAGATGTAGTGAGCTCTTTAATCCAGGTAATTACATGCACGGGTTTCCCAGATCCTCCCTCTGGTTGTAGGAAGGAGCGATCTATCCTAGGAACATGATGACATCACTGGCAGCTAAAGACATGGAGTACAAGACAAGAACGTTTATGATAAATTGAGGGGGGCGTAAATATATGAAATGATACACATCCTGGAGTTCTCCTTTAAACAGGAGCGTCACACTTCTCTTAAAAATGACAGCAAATGCACCTTTTTTAGTAATGGCAGTCTAGAAATAGATACTTCTAGACCAGTGTCTCTCAACCTTTTTTGATTCAAGGAACACTTTTAACCTACACCAAATCTCGAGGCACCCCTAAGGCCCTGTCCACACTTTCACATCAGGTTACTGGGTGTCACCTTTGGACGTGTTTTGCAGTGCGTTAGCTCATTCATTTCAATGGGCTGCCAATGCAGCATTCTGAGCAAGTGACGAGCACCAATATGTGGGCAAAAAGCACATTTTACCAGCTGCATTTGGGGTACCATTAATAGGTAATGACACCACAAGCTCATCACACCGATGCACTACTTTTTTTCAACCATGTGGTATTGCAGTACTGCTCATTGCGGCACAGTCAAGGACATTGCGGGGCAGGAGGTGCATTTTCAGTACCATTCTCCACCCTGCAGCTATATTTAAACAAAGGGGTGGAATGCTGGAGACATCATTCATTTTATATGGCCACTTGGCCATATTAGGTGTGTGTCATTGACTAAATATGTCCATATGGCCATGTAGGATCAATGATGTCACCAGCATTCCGACCCTTTCTTTAGGTTTAGCTGTGGGCCAGGGAATGCCCCAGCCACAGATGATTGGGCTGGCATTTCCTTCCAGGTTGAGACAAATTAGGTTCCAGCCAAACCCAAGCTCATCCTTAGTGCAGGTCCAGAATACAAAGAATTGCAACAGCTAAGACTATATACAGCACTCAGGAGAGGCATAGCTGAAGATGGAGAACATTGTAGGACTAGGGCATTTGGACTCATTTTGAGCATTATTATAGGACTAGGGTGTATTCACATTTTTGCTGCAGGCTAATGCTGTTATGTCCCGCATTAACATGTGGAGAGACTGTCACTTGCACTATGGAATTGCACAGGGGGTGAAAAATGGCTAAAAGAAATAAAGTTTACATTTTTTTTTAAAGCCCCCGCCCTGACACACGAATGTAAAATGTGCATTGGGTGCCCCTACGAAAACAATGACTGCACACTCAGTGGCATCACAAAGGGGGTGCAGCCCACACCCGGGAGACACCAAAATGACTGACAGTCATTTTGGTGTCACCCCCTCTAAAAAGTCAGGCACTCGGTCATGGACCAAGAGCCTGACAGTGTCAGGAGAGAGGAGGGGACCCAGCGGCATACCTCATCCCGCCGGATGAACGTCCCCTCCTCTCTCTGCCGGCATCAATCAGATGACAGCGCATGTGCAATGACGTCACTGCGGAATGTCACCCGGTCTCTGCTCCAGGTGACACCTGGCCTAGGGTCGCCCCTGCGCACACTTCCTATATTAGGTATTGCCACACACGCAAGAGAGCAATCATTTAATTCTTAATGACCTGCAAAGCTTCTGAAGTGTCACTTATGGAAACTTTTTGGTTGTTTTTGATGTTTCACAGCCACGCTGTGAAACATCAAATCAAAAACATCAATGCAAAGCTTGACATGTTATCTATTTATTCGACACCTCATTTTTATATTTTAACCAAAAAATTGTGTTTGTGCACACACTGATAAACAGTTGCGCCAATATTGTGTAACAGAAAAATTGCAACTGCCACCATTGTATTGTACAAGGTCTCTTCTTTCATAAAATATATGATTGTTGTGGTGTTTTAAGCAATCCTCAGGCCTAAAATGTGCATTTTGATGTGTGTAAAACATGAAAGCAAAGACTGGCAGCAAAAGGTTTAATTATAACTTACTATCTCCCAACAACTAAAATAAGGTAGATATCTATGAACATGTTAAAATAATTTCCAGGTACACATCCTGTACCTATGCCAAAGCTCATTGTTTATAATACTGTTTAGAAAAACTGCACTGGCTGCACTTGTCCCTCAATGCTGATTCACAAAGTGGTTTTCTTGATAAAAACATGGAAACATCACATGATGAGTTATGTTACACATTATTGTAACATGTCATTATTCATGGGAAGCTTGTGTATTTGTATGACCTTTAAAACCTGATGAATGTTTATGTGTAATTCTGAAGCCTTTGATGAATAACACTAATCCCACAACAAATCTACACAAGGAGAGCTTCTTCCGAGGCGTCTCCAATTCTTTAATCCCGATGGATAATTAGAGGACATAGTACAGAGTCAAGTTTGGAGGATTCTTGATGGTTCCTTCGCGATTCCTCCTCCACTATTGCCTTTAGTGAGGCACCAATACTAGTATTGGTATCAGTGCTGATAGAGTATTTGGGCGAGTACTCGTCCAAATGCTCCAATACTTTCCCCCGATACTGAAACTTCCCGTCAGAGGGAGATTTCCTCTGACCAGCAGTGCCGCAAGGGAATTTGGAGCCGGCTTCCCGGCCACTCAGAAACCCGGGCGGCGGGTAATGACTCGCCAATCAGCATGGAGCTGGCTAATCAAGAAGCTGGGCAGTGGATAATGACCCGCCTCCCTGATTGGCCGGAGAGCCAGCTCCTTGCTGATTGGCTGGGAAACCGGCTCTCCAGCCAATTAGCATTGAGCCGGCTATTTGGCATCAAGCTGGCCAAACAGTATCGAGCCGGCTTCTTGGGCAATCAAGAAGCCGCCCAGCTTCCTGATTGGCCGGGAAGTGAGCTCCATGCTAGAGGAAGTAGCGGTATTGGTACCGGCGAGTACCAAAAGATAAAAATCGGTACTCATACTCGATACAGAAAAACCGGTATCGGTGCATCCCTAGTTGTCTTTAAAGGTTATCCCAGCAGATGTACACTACATGTCCAAATGTTTGTGGACACCTGACCATCATAGCTACCTATGCAGCCAAATGTACAGTACATGAAATAATTTTAAAAGATTAAGGTTCATGTGTTTCCGGTGAAGAGTACTGTTAATGCTACAGAATACAAAGACATTTTATATCTTCTATTCTAGTGGCAAAAGTTGTCGGAAGCTAATCGGCCTGTGCTTCCGATAGTGTTTTCTGCTCACCTAATGTACCCTATTTGTTTTTTTCTTTCTGTTGCTGACCTTTCCTACATTTACAGATGCGTTAAATGTCTGCTGCCTGTACTTTGCTATATTCACTAAGGCTGGGTTCACACCTGGGCGTACGGAACATGCGGTAAAAAAACGTGCGTTTCCGAGGGCTATCCGGCTGTATCCTAATGGATACGCGCGGAAAATACACTCCAAATAAGCTCCTGTACTTCTTTGGCCGCTGAAATACGCCCGGGTGGGAACCATGCCCATAGGCAATTATTGGTTTTCACATGTTGAGCGTTTTACAGCGCGTAGGAACGCGCTGTAAGACACCCAGGTGTGAACCAGGCCTAATACTGCTACTATCTGCAGCCTGTCCTAACCTTTGCTATATTGACTAATACTGCTACTACTGCTACCTCCATCTATACTTTTGTGTATTAAGTCCTGGGGGGTAACCTAGTACCAGTATGCTAGATTGCATTAGGGAAAGAGGGGCTGCTAAAGGTGAAGCTACACTAACCCACTTAAGACCCATTCACACCATAGTGTCGTGCGTTTAGCGCATGTTACCGCTCAACACAATGCACCACACTGGTGTGTTGCATTGCTATTCTTTTTGAATGGCACCCCAATGCACCTCCCAGAGTGTGCTGTGTATGTATTGCCAGCTTAACACACAGACGTCCAAATTTCCAAAAGTCTTTTACCATACTTTCTATTTACTGTACCAATATTTACCTCAACAAGGAATCAAATTTAAAGATTCATGAAAAAAAAGATAAGTATCTAAACATATGAGTTTTAGAAAATACAATGTTCTGTCTGTACAGCAGATTTTGTGGAAACAACAGCTACTCACAAACAGTTATAATTGAATTAGTATCTGTATAGAACGCTGCGGCACGATTACAGTAATCAGCTAATTACAGGTGACTGGGAGCAGCTGTGACAAACAAGAAATTGCATAATGTGTCTCAGAATGTTCTAAATTAGAGACTCTACAAGGAGAACACACACTCATGTCATCTTCCAATGGGAAAATACAGACACCCTGATTGTAGACCATAAAGGGGGGCCTCTCATTCACCCCAGAAAAATGTACCATATACTAAATCCTTTTTCTTTACTGCAGGTTATGGATGCTGGCCACATAGATGAGGAATGACCACTGAACATTTCCTTCTCATGTCATAAAAAAAAAAACATTACCCTAAACTCCATGGGACCATTTAGACCCAAATGTGATTTTGTGGCTTACATTGAAAAGTTGCTGCTGCCTTGCCCATGTTAACTCTCTATTTCTTCTTCTAGTTAGCCAGCCATATTGTTTTATGTAGGAATGCAGAAACCAATATTAGTATCGGTGTTGGTGTCGATACCGAGAATTTGGGCGAGTACTCATACTCTCCCGAATGCTCCGATACCCAAACTTCCGGTCAGAGGGAGATCTCCTCCGACCGGCAGTGCTGCGGAGGAACATTGTGCCGGCTTCTCAGCCAATCAGCATTGAGCCGGCCATGCCGCGAAGGAACATGGAGCCAGCTTCTCAGCCAAATCAGCATTGAGCCGACCAAACAGCATGGATTCTGATTTCCAGCAAATCAGGAAGCCGGATAATAACCTGCCGACCAGCTTCCTGATTGGCGGGCTCTGTGCTGATTGTCTGGAAAGCCGGCCCGGTCGATCAGCATCGAGCTGGCGAAATAGCCAACTCCATGCTAATTGGCCAGGAAGCCTGCTTCCCAGCCAATTAGCATGGAGCCGGCTTCATGGGCAATCAAGAAGCCGGGCGGTGGGTAATGACACGCTGCCCAGGGTCCTGATTGCCCGGAAAGCCGGCTCCATGCTAGCAGAAGTATTGGTATCGGCACTCGGTATCGAGGAGGGACAGGTGCTGCGTGTAGCAGCCTGTTCTTCCCTATGGAAGTATGCCACCGTATGCACAGCCAAACTGTACATCTGTGCGGGTACGGGTGTCCGTACTCAGATTTAGACCGGATGGATCTTGTCTGCATCTGAGCAAGGACACCCAGACCCACACGGATGTGCAGTTCGGGTGTGCATATGACAGTGTACGGCCCCTTCTTCCCATAGGGAAAAACAGGCTGCTGCACGCAACCACACACAGCACCTGTCCCTCCCGGGACAGGACCTATATGGGCGTGCACGCAGCACGAACGTGTATGGCCCGAGATTATGCTGTGGAAATTAGGCCTAAAAAAACATCTAGTGATATTCAGATAACCTAACAAACCAGGCGTATAATACACACAGGTCACAGACAACAATTGCTTTCCTGCTTCATAGCAACATTTAAAACACTGAAACATATATTCTATATTTAATATATAGAAGGATAAATCCTCCTATTTTCAACATTTTAAAGTAATTTCTTGAGACACTTTTCTTCCAAGATGCTGTATCCAAGGTGGACAGGAACAGCCGAAACTCCCATCTGGACAGGAAAGTATGTCACAGAGATCTCAGGGGCTGATAAACTCTTACTTTTGAGTGGACTGATCCTTTAAATGACAACTACCAACCATACACCCCCACAAAAGAGTCAAAAAGTAAACAATATATTCATAAAAGGTTGTAAGAGCATATCTGTTGTTGCTAGGATTTGTTTATTTCCATTAATATATCGGTCCATATACTGATTCCAGACACCTCATAGTCCCCATCTTGACATTTCAACATCTGAAGTGTGGTTAATGTGCATGCTCTAAGGTCCTGAGGTCCTCTTAAGAGACATCTAAAATGTTCAAGGAACTCATGGAAAGACAGTTTAGGAGTCTGGCTAACCCACATTCCAAAAGTAAAGTCTTGCTCCATACCACGTCCTAGTTTGACTAGGTAATCTAGATAGGTCTGCCTAAACTTAAAAAACCTAGAACTCAACTTGGCCAAGACCTGGTGGTTCACATTACTAAAGAATCCAGTCCATGCAGCATCGTTTGACAGCAGCCATTCTAGAATTAGGTCATGCAAATGGTCCAGATTCTCAGCGCCTACAGCGTCATTAGATAACACAGCTGCTATCAGGTGGTACACAAGTGGTTGGGGGAGCTTGCAAAGAACATCTGACACTGCAGACAATTTCTGGTCATCATCTAATTTCTTCATTCTTCTCTGGAGGCTGCTCCCAAGGAAGTCTGCTTGTGTAACTAACACAGGGTCATCCAAGGGCTTCTGTGACCTTTCACAAACAAACACAGGGAGTGACAGGAAAAGTTCAGAAGCAACTTTCTGAGATGTGATGTGAGATAAGCCAAGACAATCAACCTTCTCAGAGTCGGAATCTTGTAGAAGCTCAACCAAGTGCTTGAAGACGAATGTGCTCACCGCTCTGTTGTGGAGAAGAGCCATGCACAAAATAGCCTTTCCCTTTTCCAGGTCTCTAAAAGTGATGTCTTTGTAATTTTTAAAGCAAACTTTGAGCTCTTCATTCTTCGCTGCAAGATGATCTTCAATGGCATTTCTGATTGGGTCGTTGGCCTTAAAGCGATGGTAAACTTGCTGAAAGTAACTTCCCCATTGGCGTGCCCGTTGCACATTTAGGACATCCCAGTCTTTTGCATAGACGGTATGGGACCAAGTAAGGAGGTCAACAAAATGATCTAAATTCTCCAGCATGCTCTTCAACTTTCCTGCCATTGTGTTGCCTAAAGCACAGAAAGATATCAGCAACAAGAATCGGGCACTGGATTATTTTTAAAGTGAGCTAGGTTTGGCCAATGCAGGGCAAAGAAAAGGGTTCACCTAGCTGCCGTCATTCCCTGCTACACATAATCACTTTCCCTTTGCTCTAATGCTGCTCCATTTGGTTGTAGAGAGCAAAGAGAAATACCCAATACCTCCTGATAGGGAAGCATGCAGTTCACTACAATCCAGTCTCATGACCAGATGGTGCTTTTTGACTGGTCATTCAGGTACTCAGCAGTGTACTGGATTGGGGGGGGGGCTCTTAGCCATGCATTAGCTTTAAGTGGCGAACTTGAGCTAACAGAGGTTTAGATACACGTCCTCTGCAGAAAATGTGAAAGCCGCACAGCCGCGCCAAGGCACCTCTATATAGTGCGGTTCATGCTGGCTGGTGAGTGTGCTGGGAAACTTTTTGCGGTTGTACTGTATTAAGCCCTTCCATGTGCACCTTGCTGTAAAGCTGGTAACAAATTGATGAGTGCGTTTGCCATTTGTTTCGGTGCAGTGACCCATGGGGGGGGGGTCTCAGCTGCCATTTTGATGTGCGGGGTCCCTTGTGCGTCCCTGTGCCTTTAAGGGAGGTTGGGCTTGCTCCTGACAAACCTGCACCCAATTTGATCTTTTGCCACATGTGCTCCAAGATGGACACTCTCATAGTTTAGAGTTAGGACCGCACTATATAGAGGTGCCTTGGCGCGGCTGTGCGGCTTTCACATTTTCTGCAGAAGACGTGTATCTAAACCTCTGATTTTAACCTTAGCGGTGAGACAAGTTTTTTTTGCACGCTGGCTGGTGTGTGTGCTGGGAAACTTCTTTCTGTTGTACTGTATAAAGCTCTTCCATGTGCACCTTGCTGTAAATCTGGTAACAAATTGATGAGTGCGTTGGCCATTTGTTTTGCTTGAGCTAACAGAGGTACCACTTTCATTGCTACCAACAACTCAATAGAGTGTTGAGAGAGCAAAAGGAAGGCAAGGATGTGAAGCAGGGAAAGGAGAAATGTAAATGAACCTGTTGCTTTGCACGGCTTGAACAAAAGCACAGGCTGAGGGTACAGGTGAATTCCAAACAGAGAAGAATACACCAATCATTGCAGTTATGTATTATGTAAGAAGATTCTTACAGTAAACCTTTCCTAAGAAACAAATGTCTGGCCTGCTGAAGATAAACTCCTTCTAAAAATGCTAGTTCTCTGGCTGGTATGCAGACCCTTTAGTTTAGTTCATTTTGAGTCAATGACACGAAAAAATGATGCATATCAGGCAAGGCCAGGTTTTTGCATAGCCATCGCAGGCCATGTTTTTGGAAACGAGGGCTGCTGTTGGTGAAGTACAGCCACCCATCCATCATTTCTTGACAAAAACAGACTCTTGTGTAAAGTAAAGGGGTTTCAGACTCCCTGCCAACACTGTGCCCCCTTCTTGCATCTCAATATATGGCCCATTCAATGTATGGAGACACAGAACAAGGGTGCAGCCAGCACTCAGCATATTTTTATTGGACGGGATGTAAACAAGAGGCCGTGGCTCTATAACTAAGGTAAATACACAGCTGAAGGGGTGGAGGGCTGTTGGATTAGTGGCAGTATATATCAAAGTACAGCTGTACTATATAGAAGAATCACACACAAAAAATTACTTGGATGTAAAATGGTCATAGAACATGACAAAACTATGACTGAAAAAATAATGATAACCATTCTGGGGAAACCTGTTCTGATGACAACTAAGAGGTGATATCACGTCGGTTTCGGCTTACTTCCTGCTGTGCCTTTGGGACAGGAAGTGAAGGTATATCTCTCCGATTGGACAGAGAGAGCAAAAAAGTAAAAGGAATTTTCACCATTGCCTACTCGATCTAAAGCTGAAAAAACCATACATTTTAAATCTAGGTTTAGTCTAAAGTTTATATTTTAAACTTATAGTAGGAGCCCAGGAACAATCTGATTTAAGCAGGTATGACCAGCTTCTCAAAACAGGGTTTTAGTGTGTCTGGAGCTTGCCCCCATTACTGTACTCAAATGCCAACTTCCAAGTACTGGAATGGAAGCAATTATGTCTCCGTTTGATAATATACAATTCTGCACGAAAAGACTCAAATATTATAAAAAACAAAAGGGAACAGAGCGCCACCTCCTTGTGTAAAATCGTTTATTACAATAAATAAAACAAGGGATAAAAGTACTCACAAACAAACGTTTTCATCAGGCTTTAACAACAAATGAGAGGCCACACTGTCTGTTAACCCAACATGGTATATCCCCGACCATGTAACACGGTAGTCTCCGATCACATCACCGTCCACTGACAGCAGTCAGCCAAGAATGACGCGTTTCAGGTGCAAGCCCCCTTCCTCAGAATCATGATAAAAGTACTCACAAATCTTGGCTGACTGCGGTCGGTGGACGATGATGTGACCGGAGACTACCGTGTTACATGGTCGGGGATATACCATGTTGGGTTAACAGACAGTGTGGCCTCTCATTTGTTGTTAAAGCCTGATGAAAACGTTTGTTTGTGAGTACTTTTATCCCTTGTTTTATTTATTGTAATAAACTATTTTACACACGGAGGTGGCGCTCTGTTCCCTTTTGTTTTCTATATTCGTGGTGGAAGCGCCAGAGCCCTGGATGAGCAGCCCCTAAAGTCTGTGTAAAAAACTGTGATAAACTGTTGAAAACTTTGTTGGCTGCCAGAACAAGCTGGCACAGAAGCTCCTTAGCAGCTGAAGGGTCCCACACTCTCTGCTAAGGAGGACTTGTCTATAAAGAAATATGGACGTTGTGACTGAAGACCAGTTTTGAAGGTACAAAGTTTTGGGCTGCCATCCTCATCCTTGTTTTATAATTTAATGTAAAATGTTGACAGCTCACTGCTCTTCATTCCCGACCACGCTCTGCAAAGGAGCCGGACTCTTAACTGTTCGCATTTGAGGGCGGGTAGACATTTTTGAGGCCTTGTTCAAACCAAACGCGTTCCAGGAGCAGAGCAGTTACAGAACGGATCAAAACTGCGTCCAATGTATTCCAATGGTATTTTGGGCTCTAGTTCACACTGCAGCGTTCAGTTCCAGAGCATGTAAAAAAAACTGCAGCAAGCCCTATTTAACCTTCTCTGGAACGCATGCAAACGCATCAAAAATGCGGCACAACCCCCTGCACTGCCCTGTGTCCAGAAACTCGTGCAGATCTGGTCTGCATTTGGTGTGAACAAGGCCTAAATGTCTTTTCTGGCTCCTGCGCGTGCATGAGCGGGAAACTGTAAACATTTTTACTAGGGATGCACCGATACTGGTTTTTCGGTATCGAGTACTAATACCTCAATTTTTTTTTTTTTTGGTACTCGCCGATACCGGAAGTTTCCATTAAGGAAACCAGGCGCCATGTAAAAACCTCGCCACCCGGCTTTCAGATTAGCAGGGAAGCCTTCTCCAGCCTCCATCATCACCAGGTGAGGAGAATGCATGGAGCCGGCTTTCTTGCCAATCAGGAAGCCGGGCACCGTGTAATGACGCATTGCCTGGCCTCCTGATTGGTCGAGAAGCTGGCCAATCAGTAAGCTGGGCAACGCGTCATTATTCGTCTTCCTGATTGGCTGGGAAGCCGGCTCCCTCGTCACCAGGTGACGAGGGAGCATGAAGCCGACTTTGTCGGCTAGTATTATTGGTATTGGTGGATCCCTAATTTTTACAACCGACGATGGCTGTTACATACAAGCGTTCGGGCAGCTATAGGGCCACCCGACCGCTTGTACAATGCTGGGAAAGTTTGTGCCCCCCCTCCACTGTGAGCTATCGCGGGCTCCACTGTTCCCTGTGTGGGCCCGGAAAAGCGGGGCTGCATTTTACCATTGCAGCGGGGCAGGGGCGTCCCGAGGCTGGGTGACACCCGGAGCGGTAACCGAGTATCACCCTGCCGAGACATCATCGCGCACGCGCGGCAGTATTCTAATACCTGCCGCCGGCCATCTTGGTGATGGACGCCAGCAGATAGAGGAGGAGACAGCCACACGGCGGGATAAGGTATGCCGCTGGGTCCCCTCCTTTCTCCCGATACTGTCGGGCGTTCGGTCCATGACCGAGCGCCCGACTTTTCAGAGGGGGGTGACACCAAAATGACTAAGTCATTTTGGTGTCACCCCTCTAATGGTGTCACCCAGGTGCGGGCCGCACCCCCCTTGTGACGCCACTGCAACGGGCACACAATGTAGTTTTTACATTTCAGCTCTAATGCAGTGTAACACTTTTGTTTGTTCAATAATACAATATTAATAGCAGTCTATACATCAGATTATTATAAGGACATTCAGGACAACTGTGGAGAAAAAAAAGCGCCGGTGGGATTTGATTCCCAAAGGTGGACAGTCCCTCCAAATGAAGGACTGATGGGAACTACGCCACTGGTGTCCAGCCCATTTATAATATATGCATGCTACATTCCATACGCTGAAGGAACTAGATCTTCTACCTCACCGACCGACCCTACACTCACCTTCTCCACCTTCTAACTCCAACTTTACGCCGTACACCCAACACGGCCCGCCAGCTTTACCTCACTTGCCCTTAGCAAATATATTCGCAGGCAAGCGAGGCCGATTACGTCACCGTGTTCTCGCTCCACAAGTTGCCTGTCACCGACACATTTGCCCTCAGTCAAAATGGCCGCGAAAAACGTGCTTGGGCGGCCACGCATGTCTGGCATTGCAGGGTGACGTCAAAGGGCAGCGGAAGACGTCATATTTTAGAGCCAGAGGAGACGATGCCTAAGAGCTGTGTGGCCCCGGAGTGTAGGTCGGAAGGAGCGCGGGAAAGTTACTACAAGTGAGTGTGGTTGGTGCTGTTGAGGGGGCAGCGGGCGATTACGTGGTGCGGCGTCACTCTGCCTGCAGTAGCCAGGCCGGTGTAATGGACGTGCTGCGTTTTCATTATGGAAGCGGATGTGGGGGGTGAGGATGGCGGTGTTTACTAGAGGACAGGCGTTTCCAATGTAATCCAGTTTTGGATTTATGTTCCAACGTGTAAAATCGTGACGAGTCGCACTTGCTATGCACAAAGCACCCAGCGGACTTTGAAGACAAACCCTATAGGGTGTTTGAAAACACTCACTATAGGGGTCACCATAGGTAACACTTTATAATCCATCTAAGCGTGATTAAAGTGTATCTAATACCACACAGATGACCGCCTCCTTCAGGTTATTGTTTACCCGTGTCCTATTGGGAGATATCCCTTCACTTCCGGTCATAGAGGCGCAACAGGAACTGAAAGAAGTGAGGGGGACTCCCATATTTGTCGGTTGTCATGGGAGCAGTTGTCACCATTGGAAGATTTCCCCTAACTTCCTCTTCCAGGGGCAACTGTGAAATTTGTGATTTACCCTCCCCCCCCCCCATCATATTCCATACCCTCAACTCCTGAGATGAGGAAGAGGGACACCTTCCAGCACAATGGGGGGAATTTATAAGAACTGAAACGGACAATCTGGAGCAGTTGCCCATGGCAACCAATCAGTGTCTCATTTCATTTTCAAGCTAAACTGAGGAGCTCTTGGCTTTGGACACGGGTCAGCATGGGCACCCTGACTGGTCTGCAGTTGTGTGACCCAATATCCAACAAACTGCGATGCCCTGTGTGTTCAGACAGCTTTCTATCGGAACCAGACCAGCATTAACTTTTTATAATTTTTTTTTTTTTAAATCAATTTGAGCTACAGAAGCCCTTCTATTGGATTAGACTACATGGGCCGGCCTTCTCTCCCTATGTGCATCAATGAGCCTTGGCCACCCATGACCCTGTTGCCGGTTCACTGGTTTTCCTTCCGTGGACCACTTTTGGTAGAACTTGACCACTGAAGACCGGGAACATACCACAGGAGCTGCAGTTTTGGAGTTGCTCTGACCCAGTTGTCTGGCCATGCCAATTTGGCCCTTGTCAAAGTCATTCAAATCCTTACATTTGCCCATTTTTTCTGCTTCCACCACACAATGTTCACTCGGTGCCTAATATATCCCACCCACATCCAGGCGCCATTGTAATGAGATAATCAATGTTAGTCACTTCACCTCTCGGTGGTCATAATGTTATGGCTGATCAGGGTGTATACCTATTGTCTCTGGGTCAGGAAGTGAAATCACCCCAACTGGACACTGACTGGAAAAAATACCTGGCAGTGGGATGTTAACTTTTCCTGTTTTATCCAAAATGTAAAAAAAAAAAAAATTTGGATTTTGAAGCAGTTTTTAACCAGTTGACATCTGCGGTGTTAAATGCCTATATGTCAAACACCCGGTAACGGGTGTGTTTAATGGACGGGTCTTTTCTGCCCGTGCGTGCCCGCTAGGGGGCGCGCGCGAGCAGAACATAATTGCCGTCTGGAGACGGCAACCCGCAAATGCAGCAGTGCCGTCCGTCCGTTTTTTTACTACGGGCGGACGGCAAAGAGGTTAATGACTTCCATAAAACGTAACAAAACTTTGAACGTTGTTTCCTCTGAGCTGGTAACATTAAAGGAGAACTATGGGGTCAGTGCTTTTCCCCATAGTTCTCCCCAGGGTCACGGGAGGACACAAACTAGCGTCCTCCCGTGACCCAAAGCTCAGTATACCGCGAGCTACAGCTCACTATATACTGAGACCGCCGCAGCCGGGACAGATCCCGACATTACTGTCGAGATCCACCCAGCTGTGTGATTGACAGCTGGCTCTGCCTATCTAGAGGCGGAGCCAGCTGTACCCGCCCCCGTCCGTTCCGCCAGTCAGCGCTGGAGGAGCGGGGAGGGGGGGGGGAATCCCTGCAGGGAGCTGTGAGTGACAGTCACGGCTCTCTGACGTGACAGGATCGGGAAGTGAGCGAGCGACGGTATGTGTTCGCTTACTTCCCGATCTACTGAGCAGACCGGTGACCGTTTCATAGTCACGGGTCGGCTCAGATTATGAGGCTGAGTGAAAAGCACTTGTCTCATAATTTTCCTTTTTAAGGCTTGGGGGTTATATGGGGGAAGTGCAATGGCTTTGGATCCTTTTATTTTGTGACAGTTCAATTACAAGAATCGGTGACTTATGTGTGGGGGATAGATAAGAGCAGTTATTGGGGTGTCACTAGTGAATAAACATATTTTATTCACACAGTGTAGCTGGGTCAGGATGATACTGTCATTCCATGTTATTATTTGTGCCTGTCCTATGTGAAGCAGTTTTAATAAGCTAAAACAAATTTGTTGCTGCCCATTTCAGCCAATCGGGTACTTTTTCCTCAATAATGACCACTAAAGTCTGATTGGATTAGAAAATATGTCTATTTTTGCAACACCATCCTTTTATCCAAAAATTGAAAAGTGTATTGTAGTTTCTGTGCTTATAACGGTTTTCTGCCCCTTTGTAGGTTTCCTTTGCATGACAAAGTGCGCCTCAAGCAATGGCTGAGCAAAATGAACATGGAGAATTTCTTTCCTTCCAAGAATCAGTATCTGTGCGGCAAACACTTCAAACCATCTTGTTTCCAAGTCAGATTGGGAGTTCGCTACCTGAAAAATGATGCGGTTCCGACAGTCTTCTCATCCAGTGGACTTCCAGTATGTATTGCGTTTCCACAGCCATAAATAAATAAAATGCAGTTGTGTGCATTTTAACATGCGTTAGCAGATGTATAGCTATGAAGCCGGCCTAAACCCCATACTTAGAATATGGTGGGATAACCAGTTATCAGTGGTGAATCACTAGACAGTATGAACTTGTAGGTATCCTGGAAAATTAATCCCACCCTGGAAAGCCATACCCATTTTCAGGCAAACGGTTGTCCCAACAGTGACTTGACTTTTGACAGTTTAAGACATGGGATCAGGAAGGCTTTACTATTAAAGGAGAACTATGGGGGGTCAGTGTTTTTCCCCATAGTTCTCCTTGGGGTAACGAGAGGACACAAACTAGCGTCCTCCCGTCACCCTAAGCTCAGTATACCGCGAGCTACAGCTCGCGGTATACTGAGACGCCGGAGCGGATCCCGACGTAGATGACGGGATCCGCCCAGCTGCGTGAGTGACAGCTGGCTCTGCATATCTAGAGGCTGTATACCCGCCCCCTCCCCTGTCCGTTCTGCCAGTCAGCGCTGGCAGATCGGAGAGGGGAATCCAGTCCCTCCCCCTGTCACGGCAGAGAGCCGTGACAGGATCGATAGGTGAGGGAACCCGGTATGTGTTCGCTCACCTCCCGATCTACTGAGCCGACCTGTGACAGTCTCATTGTCACAGGTCGGCTAGAACTATGAGGTGAGTGAAAAGCACTCGCCTCATAGTTCTCCTTTTAATTTAACCCAGATACATATTTGTTACAGTTTCATACTCTGTAAACAGTAGATGAGAACACCTGTACATAGCAATTTGCTTATCAATTGCTAACTTTAAATAAATACTATATATTAGGGACGCACCAATACCATCTTCACAGACCGAGTACTAGTAACAAATCTTTTACTTTTCCTCAAGTACTTGCTGAGTGTCATGTGACAGTTTTTCTAAAGCAATACAGGCTAATAATTTTAGGACCGTGGTGGAGCGCCAGGGCTCGGTCGCAGCTGCAACCTCTGCGACCCTGGTGGTTCTAGTAAAGCTTGCTTTAAATGTGAACTCCAGTATTTCACAGTTGTATGGCTATTGCTCCCAGCAATAAAGTTAAAAAAAAAAAAAGTTTTAATCGCCTAAAAAGACTGAAAAATTAGAGTAAAAAAAAAGTGGAATAAAATGTAAAAAAATACAGTTTAATTAAAAAATAGAAAACATTTTTTTGGTGTTATTTTAAATATTATTGTATGGTATTTTAAATAAAAGTTTGGTTATTTAATTATATTGGCCTAGAGTTTTACAAGTCATATTATTATTTTAAATCCATGAAACTAATTAAAATGTCGAATATAATACATACAATATTTTTTTAAAAATGAAAAATTTAGATATTTTAGTGGGAAAAGTAATTTTCAGTTTTGAACTGACAAATTTTGCTTCAGGAGGTGCGTTGCAGTGCCATTAATTTCAATAGAACGTTCCAGTGCAGTACGATTTCCAAAAATGTGCATTCTGTTATTCTGAAGTAAAACTTTGTCTGGAACTCTGTATTTGTGTATTTTATTTTAAATTACATTAATTTTTTTAAATTTTATCTGATCGAAGTTAATAATCTGCTAACCGATTATGAAAATGATCCATTAGCTGCAGCCCTATTTTTCTGTACTCTGTATTTGCTTGTACAACAACTGGTAATAGATATTCTAACAAGTTGTCTTTCTGCCTTTCAGAACAAGGCCCATTCAGCAAAGAGCCGGGCCCTGAGCTCTGCACAAAGTGTAAGCAATGAGTTCTGCAGATCTTCCGTTTCAAATATGGGCATTGATGAGGCTCGGCCACTGTCCGAAGCTTTGACGTTTACCCTTGATCCTACTTTCGCCGCTGGTCAGATGTCCATTAATGGAACGGAGATGTTGGTCACAGATCCTAATGCACTGGCTCTTCCCACTACAGTGATGGGGGCTGTGAATTTGGTACCACTGGTTCATATCGTTGAATCGTTTGATGGGTTGTCGTTGGCATTGGCTCCTGCTCAAGGGTTTCCTTCTGTGGGTTTGCCTATTGTGGTGGCCAAGCAGCAGCAGCCCCATCAACTACCATTGGTCCAACCCATTACAATCTTGTCAGAGGAGCACATTGCCTCTACCGCATTACAGCAAGGCTTTTATGACAATCAAGTCTTGCAGTCAGCAGGAGCAGGAGATCCGACCTTTATTCAAGTAAATGATGTGTCTAATAATGGTGCTCTAGTCATGGAAAATATCTCCATAGAGCCGTTTTTTGAAGCAGGGCTGCCTACACCAGAACCAGTAACCATGTCATCGGAGGATGTAATCTCTTATCTGGAAACCATGCAGACAGCCACAGTTGGTCCTACACTTGCAGCAGGCCCTCTGCCACCACTGCCATCATCTCTAGAAACCGTTTTGTCAACTTCTATCACAAGGCCCATACCTTCCACAGTGCCCATTGTGTCAGAACACCGTAAAGAAGTGGTCACATCTGATGTAACAAAGCGGATCTGCTTAAACCCTACTCGGGAACCAGATGGACTTTCTGAAACCTTGACGAATGCTGATCTGGTGTCGGTGGTGGTGAACCTACAGGAGAAGGTCAAAGCACTTCAACAGAGACATAAGAAGCACTGCTCCAAGCTAGAAGTCATGGAAGGCATGGTGGAACAGCTGAAGAACGAAAACCTCATTTCTGAAGAGAATCTGAATGAAATGGAAGTTGTAAGTATTAAACAGAATGCTTGAGCTGGGTTAGTATGAAAGGGCGGACCTGGCCATACATCATGTAGTAATTCAATAGTAATGTGCACACGCTAAATGATGCTGGGGATAATCTGGGTCGCCAGCTGAATGATGGCAAGGTGCCAATGTTTGTCTTCCTTAAGTGCCTGTTCACACGACGTCCGTTTTGTGTGCTGACTTGATCCGTACGCCCCTGCACTCAAAATGTATCCCTATGTGTTTTATGGGCTACAGTTCTCACGTGCGCAGTCTTACGATAGAAAAATACTGCATGTCACATTTTGTACGGTCAGGAAATGCAAACGCGTCAAACGCACTGCAGCTAACATACTAACAGCCCCACTTCTTTTTTTTTTTACAAGAACGCATCAAAAACGCGGCCAAAACGCACCATCAGTAGCACCGCGTCTGCAGATCCGGACCTGACCAGGACCTGAAACTCATGTGAACAGGCCCTAAAGGGTTATTAAACCCTCCAGTTTTTTTGCATAGATCTACTGCTAGCAAGCAGTAGATCTATGCAAAAAGTGTAAAAAAACTAAAAACCCCCGCTTTAAAAAGGGTATTATATGTATTTGAAGAAATACTCACCTGCGCGTTCCCGTCCGAAAAATGTGAAAATTCTCGGGCGGCCGCAAAGCATCTTGGGGCGGGCGCATGCGCAGTTCACATTTTCAGCCGGGACGCGAAGAGACACAAGGTAAGTCTATGGACGCGTGCACCTGCATGCAGACACCGTGGGACAGGAAGTGCCAGAAAGCTCAGGGGAGTCGGCGATGGATCGACAGATGAAAAGGACAGGAAAGAAGATCGGATTAAGAAACATCATTTAAGGTAAGTGCTGACATTAACATGGGGGGGGGATTTTTGACTTTAATGTCATTTTAAAATCCACATTATAAACATTGCAAAGACATTAGCAAACTTGGTCTTTTCGGTTCTGATAATGATGAGAACCAGGCCAGTACTTTTATCAAACTGAAAGTTAAGTGAAAAGGTCCACTTTCCTTATCAAGACCTTTCATCACAGTACTAAAATAAGAAAAGCTGCTGCACTTGCTTTCCTTTAGTTTGAGCACGTCTCTTAGAAAATGTCTTGCATAAAAATATTGAAATTCCGGTTGCAGAGGATGTTTCTTATTTGACTCCAGACTCTGTGCATACTTTTGGGGCTAGCCATAAGCTAATCAAATGTGAGCATGGTTTGAGATTCCTGGACTTGTGTACACGGATGCAAAATGTCCCCAGAGTTGCCATGGTTGCATTTCAAATATTTATATTGTATCATATTGGGATGGGGGAGGTTTATTTAAATGAGTTTTTTTTTTTCCATGCGTAGGGCAGCCCAGTGAAACAAATAGACTGGACTGTGCGTGATCCTCAGCAAATATGACGTGTGAATGGGGGCTTGCGTCTGGTTTCAGTGAATCTTTACCAGCTTACAAACACCTGCTGGTTGTTTACATTAGGGGCAGACCGGCTGCCAAGATCTGTTCTCCATAGAAAAAAAGCTAAGATTTCAATGCCTGTGTTGTGAACTTTGAAAATGATTTTCTCTACAATGCTTATACTGTACATACAAAGATGAATGACGGCTTGTTTCCAAGGGCTTGTTCAAAGTATGTAAATAGTTTAGTGTGCATGATCTGGGCACAGATTCACCTTAAGTATGCCATGCTCAACCTTTGTTTCCTTGCTGTAAAGCCTGTTTACAGAGCTCTGTAGCACAAGCTGAGATAAACAGCAGCATTGATTTATCACTTTTGACGCGTTCCTCATCAGAGTCCAACGTTTCAGTCAAACCGCAGCTTTAAGGGCAGTTTCGGACCATTTTATGGTGCGAACCTGTCGCAGTTTGGTGCATTCCAGACAGACAAAATGAGACACTCGGTACTTTTCTGGTCTGGAACGGACTGCGCTAGTGTGAACAGAGGCCAGAAATGAAAGCGGGACACATTTTGGGTTTGGAAACAACCTGGTATGGAGATGATGTGGTGTGAATGGGCCCTAAGACTCTGTTCACACTATGTCCAGAGCAGATCTGCAAACGCAGTGCAGTGCATTTTGCCCTGTTTTTTGTGTGCTTAAAATGCGCTTACAGTTGTGTTACAGTGCGTTTGTATGCATTTGTGATGCGTTCCAGTGCATTCCAGACCAAATAAGACTAGCAGTATTTTATTTTTTTGGTCTGGACTGGAACAGACTGCGCTGGTGTGAACAGAGCCCAGAAATACCACAGGGATACACTGGGATGCTTTTTTGGTCCAGGAACAAACTGTTGTGATCTGGAAATGGTGTGAACAAGCCTTCACGCAGGCAGCATCTGTTGGGCTCTAGCTAACCCACATCATCTCTATGTGCTCTGTAGTAAATATTTATTTGTAAAACACAGATTTTGAGATGGTACACCTTTCTTTCTTTTCTCTGCTGGTTGGAAGGCTTTTGTGAGAAGCAATGCTATTGCTTAACGAACTTTAGGCTACCAGTGATCCTTCTAATCTACCGTGTTTCCCCGGGCGGGGTGCTGTTGCCGGTCCTGGCGGATGTCGCTTCCATCGTGTGGGCGGGAGCTGTGGCTGGCGTGTGGGCGGGGCTGGAGCTGCGGCAGGCTGGCGTGTGGGCGGGGCGGGAGCTGCGGCCGGTCTTTACATTTAAAATTCAGTTTATGTGCAGCTACCCCGAAAGTAAGACCTAGCGGATTTCTGTAATATAAGACCTACCACTGAACTAGGTCTTATTTACGGGGTAGGTCTTATATTACAGAAATCACTGAAGATAGTGCTAGGTCTTACTTTCGGGGTAGGTCTTACTTTCGGGAAACACGGTAGAAAGAATATGTCTCCTGAAGTACACAGTTAGGGCTTGTTCACACGATTTTCTGGTCCAGATCTGGGGAAGCGGTGCTATGCATGCAGATGCGTTTATGACGCGTTCCAGTTTTTTTTTTTGGTTGGAGTGGGGCTGTCAGTATGTTAGCTGTAGTGCGTTTTCGGCATGTTTTTGATGGGTTTGTGCATTTCCAGGCCGGACAAAATGTGACATGCAGTATTTTTTTCTGACCGGAACGGACTGCGCTCGTGGGAACTGTAGCCCATAAAACACATAGGGATACATTGGGATGCATTTTGGGTGCATGAGCGCACTGATCTGGTCCAGACAGAATCCGGATGTTGTGTGAACAAGCCCTTAAAGTGACATTAAACCTTCAGATTTTTTAACATAAACCAATACTGTAATGTGTGTCTTACTGTAATCCATGGTAGTTCCCCTTCTCTTTGCTGCTCTTCCTTTTAAATCCTTCTCTCTTCTCATGCTGGGGGAGAACTTCCCTTTTGCAGCTGAGTGCCTCTTCCTGTAGTGCTGGCTCATGTTGTGAACCTTCACACAGACACCATGTAGCCATTCCAGAGACAAGGCAGTCTGCTGCAAAACAGAAGTTCTGCCCACAATGAGAAAAGATACGGATTTAAAAGGAAGAGCAGCAAAGAGAAGGGAAACAACCATGGATTACAGTAAAGGTGCCCATACACTGCTCGATTCTCGTACGAGAATTGGACGAAATCCCGCGATCATACGAGAATCGAGCAGTGTGAACGAAGACGTGTGACCGTTTCTACTGTACGGTTGCACGTCTTTTGTTGAACCAACATGCTCGAAAACCCGCCGAGAATCGTACGATTGTCGGCGGGTTTCTAGCCTGCTCGTCCGATAGCTGCGGAACGGGCCGGTGTGCGCACACTGCCCGTTCTGCATTGCGGTCATCGGAAGCCTGCCCCTCAGCGGGGCGGGCTTTCGATGATCGCAAGTACGATCTGCCCGTCCAAGGTGGGCAGATCGTACGAGCTTTCAATAAGCATACGACCATCGCAAGACAAAAGTCTTGCGATGGTCGTAAGCTGTATGGGCACCTTTAGGCACACATTACAGTATTGTTTGATGTTACAAAAATCTGAGGGTTTAATGTCACTTTAAGCTTCCAGACTTTGTTGAAAGAACTAAAGGTGGCCATACGTGCGACCGTACAGTAGAAACGGTCGCACGTCTTCGTTCTCACTGCTCGATTCTTGTACGATCGCGGGATTTCGCCCGATTCTTGTACGAGAATCGAGCAGTGTATGGGCACCTTTAACTGGAGAGAAGCTGATTGGTTGCCATGCACAGCTGCTCCAGATTTTGTCTACTCCAGTTTTGATAAATTGCCCCCAGTGTGGGTTTTTTTTTCTATATGTAATAGAGCATAGATACTCCATAGAGCTGCCTTCTCCACGGGTCGTCTGCTGTCTGCAGGCACCACGGTTTGGTAGCCGCTGATATTCATTTTAGTTCCTGAAATGAAAATTAGAGACCGAATAGTCCCAACCCAATTATAAATGCATGCATAGGAAGGGATTTTTACATCACTGCATCCTTAAATCCAGAGGCTTTGGGTATTATGCTTTTTGTATATGGTAGTAATTATCTTTTTATGTTCCTATTTACTTCCAGGCTTGTCTCAACTCCACCTCTGCAGCATCAGAAGATGGCGACACCATTGCAATCGTTTGCGAAGAAGACAGCCAACCCTTGGTGTATACATTTCCCTTCCCGGCAGATAACCGCAATGTCTTTCATATTACTGAACAATGATTAGGAATGTCACCTGATTATTGTTCCCCTTGTTTTTCTCCCGGCATATCAGCTTTAGCATGTTCACACGAAGCAGTGCACTACAGTTGTGCTTACCAGGTTTTATGACCTTGCATATCCATGTAAATGTTTCTTCTTTTAAACCTTTGCAAGCATTTGTTTCACACTGTAGTGCTCCCTGAGAATGTAATGGATTCAAACTGGAACAGAACCAAGCTGACTTCAGCTTTCAGATTGTACATTGTACCTGATGGATTGCTGTAAACAACAGCGCCACACATTTGTAAATCAACTTTGGGGTATATTTTGACATGTGGTTTGGTAAGAAGTCAGCAAATGTGTGGCGCTGCTTGGTTTCTGAAATCTTTATAGAAACAGCTGTAGCTTCTGTGTGCAAAAATAGGGATCTGGCTTCTTTTTTTTTTTTTTTGTGTGTGTTTTGTGTGGATTCTTTTTTTTTTTCTTTTGTGGAACAGTGACCAAAACGTTATTTTGGTCGAAGATAAGCAGGGTTGATTGTCTGTCTGCTGGTTCTTTACTGGTGTGTGACTCTGATGTTAACATCTATCCTACTCCTGGTCTTGTTGCACAAGCCAGGGCATTGCTTTGAGATATGTTTGTTTTCAGCACTAGGAGCCGCCTTGGGGCTTTTGGGATAGAAAACCAGTATAAATAAACCATTTAATCAACCTCTAACCTATCCTGATAATTACCAAACGCTGACATGTTTTAAACCTAACCAGACCCTTGAATTGAACCCTAACTCTTAAACGTAACCCAGAGTATATCCTGCTTACCTTATTGGTGCTGCATAGTACCAGTGCTCCAAACCAAGGGGTGGGGATTGTACAGTTCCAAAGCAGTCTTGGGGACAGGGGAATTTGACTTATGTTTTTGCTCCAGCTGTTTAGTACATCTGTGGGCAGAGATGATCATGGGTATGTACCCTCTAAAGTGGCATATATCGGTAATTGTGGACATTGTGTTGTCCACAACACAACATAGGTAAAATTCCCCTGTCCCCAAGACTGCTTTGGAACTGTACCACTGTAGTAAATGCCATGGTATTAACTGAGCTGTTCATCTTTAATTATGGGAACTCCAACACAGGAGTGTGAGTCCTGTAAACCTGTATAAGGGCCTGTTCACATGAGATCAGGCCCTGATCAGCAGACGAGGAGCTGCTGATGCATTGCGTTTTTGGCGCGTTCCAGCTGGAGTGGGGCTGTTAGTATGTTAGCTGCAGCGCAGTGCGTTTTTACGCGTTTGCGTATCCTGACAGTTTCCGGACCTGACAAAATGTGACGTGCAGTATTTTTTCTGTCGTAAGCTGAACGGACTGCGCATGTGAGAACTGTAGCCCATAAAACACATAGGGATACATTGGGATGCATTTTGAGTGCAGCAGCGTACGGAGCCGGTCAGCACACAAAACGGACGTCGTGTGAACAGGCCCTTAGTGTAGTGGAAGCGAGGCTAATCATGTGACACTAATAGGGTTATTCACAAAAGGGTGAAGAGTTTGGAGAAGGCAGGAGAAGGGAACAATCTAGGACAACATAGCTGAACTAGGAAGCGAGCTGAATTACAGAATTTTTCCAGTTCAGCTATGTTGTCCTAGATTGTTCCCTTCTCCCGCCTTCTCCAAACTCTTCACCCTTTTGTCTTGGCTGCAGCCTTGAACTACTTCTGCTACTGGAAAATGGATCACAGGTTCAGCTATGATTTCTTTGGTGTCACATTATACTTCCAATGATTATTGTTCAGATTAGGTAATTCTTTTCTTCCTTGGTAGGTACTAGAAGATCATTTTTTATAATTTGCTTGTCTTGTTAGTGCTCCTATACCTGCAAAATGCATATCACTGCAGTGTTTCCTTTCATCTGCTAGTGACTTTGTGTTGATCAAGGTTTGTTCTGGTTTACTATGGAACATCAAACAATTGTGCATAGAAATCCTTTGTCCATGTCTTACCCTGTCCAGTTATTGACACTAATGTTTGAGCTGGTCACGGTACTAATCATAAATTGGATTGTTAAGGGGTAGGAATGAGTTGACTGACTTACCTGGAAGCTTCCTTCCTCTCAGATCCCCTTGCTTCCTTCTCTGCTGTGCCATCTGCCTGTACAATCCACCAGCAAATCACAGCCATGAGAAAAGTGGAAGTCGTGGTCATAGATATTTGAATTGATCCTATTCATATAAAAAAATAAAATGTAGGTTTAGAGCAGGAGTGGGCTACCATTTTTATGTGAAGGGCTATTTGGATGTTTATAACCTCATTCCTGGGTCATACAAAATTATCAACTTAAAAATTAGCCAACTATATTTGTGATGTTAGCTGGTATTGATACTCGCAACTGCGTGTCCAGGACACACTCCAGCAATACCCCCCCTGGATCCACCAGTGGATACACTCCAACAATACCCGCCCAGGGCACACATGCATACACACCCCACTAGCTGCAGTTAAGGGCCAGGAGGCAATGTCACACTGCCAGTGTGCTGAGAGCAAGATAAGAAACAGTAAAAACTTACAAACTCATCTAAGTCCATAGATAATGTTAGGCGCTCTTCCACATAGGACAACTTTCAGGGCTCTTTCTGAGTCTCTGCCTGCAGGTACAGCCTGTCAATGCGGGCTTGGCAGCTCAGACGCTCCACACGGCGCTCAAGAGCGTCAGGTAGATACAGCCAGCCACACTGGCACAAAGTCGCATGCATGCAGTGCGCACAGCAGAGATAAGGGGCGGGGGGTGGTGCACAGCTTACAGCCGACGAAGCCGCTGCAGGGAGGGGAGGATCACCCCTTCCAGCCTACAGCGTCACACAAGCAAGTGGTGAGGAGCCGACTCGGAGGGCCAGACCAAATAATTTATTTTGTGGAACAGTGACCAAAACTGGACTTTCCCCACCCCTGGTTTAGAGTATCGCATACAGAGCGGCCAGTGGATTGTTACTTCACCAGAAGGTTCACTTTTCTACTATATGACTAACATAAGGTGGACTGTACTAGGGCTAGATTTCACTGCTGATGCAATCCTATTAGAACTTTGTTAGTGATATGCCATTAAAGGGGCTCAGAAACAAGCTTACACAAACCATGTTTATACTCCTCCTCACAAAAATCTAGCATGCCTGAGACATCCTTTGAGTAACCATGAATTGACCCCAACAGGTGTTTCAAGAAGTTGCTTGAATTGAAATCAAACATGGCAGGAGGTTTGATGCTTGACCGTAGACCTGAGGATGGAGACATCTTTCATCTGTGTGTGAAGACTTGCTGTATCTTCAGTAAATGCTGATAGTTTTGCAACATATTAATATTTATAGTCTTTGCTTTGTCAAGACCTGCAAATTAAGGCGAAGGAAAATCACAGAATTTTAATATTGAATTAACACATCAGTAGACTCTTGTTAACATATCCATCTGCATAGCTTGACTACTTTCTTCTTAATGGGACAGTGCACCCAAAACGGATGTATCGCAGGGAAGTGTGTTCCACGGACCCTTTTGCCAGACATTCATTTCAACAACAATCTTCCCATAAAATATGTGCATTTGCTGTATTTTATACAAGTTTATTCCTTGTAAAAGCCTCCCTTGTGTAAAAGCCCTGAGACTGCTGCTGGATACAGTCATCCTAAGAGTGCCCACACACCTTACGATAATCGTAAGGTGTGTGGAAGCCGTGCGACCTCTACTACTGTAAGGTCGCACGACTTTTAACTTACGAACATGTTCGAAAACCCGACGAGCATCGTACAATGTTCGGCGGGTGTGTAGCATGTTCGTAAGATAAAAGCCGGACGGGCCAGTGTGCGCAAGCGCACTGCCTGTTTGGCATTGCGGTCATTGGAAGCCCGCCCCTCAGGGGGGCGTGGCTTGCAACCATCGCAAGTACGATCTGCCTGTCCAAGATAGGCAGATCGTACGTTTTTTTAATTACCTTACAACCATCGCAAGACAAAAGTCTTGCGATGATTGTAAGGTGTGTGCCCAGCATCAGTGTGATTTCAGCAGTCCAAGCAGACTCAAAGCTGTCAGAGAATGACGTGCTATAGCATTTACCTTTGCTCCTCCCCTGGCAAAGGAGCTGGCTTAACCCAGACCGTGATTAGACACTCCCAAAAGAGGAGAGGGCTATGATGAGCAAGAAGGGAGTGGTATGTGCTAGGGAATTGACTCTTCTTAGAGTAGTCACATTTTCTAGCAAATGAAAGAAAATTACGGGAAGCAAAAAAAATGCAAGTAAGCATTTAAAATACTTTTTCTGTTCTTTTTACAGGGTTACTTTAAGTATGATTGAGACAATAACCATGACACTTTACCTTACCTCTCCCTCAGACTTTTAAAATTAACACTTCACCCTCAAAAGGCAGCTCCTGGCCTGACACTTAAAAGTTAACACTTTTAGGCCCCGTTCCCACTGCGCGATATGCAAATCGCGCTTTTTTGCGCGACATCGCATTTTGCGCGACATTTGCCGCGCGATGTCGCATTCAAGCTTGCATTGAGCAAGCTTGAATCGTGGCTAAATCCGCTCCAAAAAGGGTCCTGCTGTAGCGACACACGACCCGTGACAGCAGGACCCTTTGCCCCATTGGATTGCATTGGAGCGCGATATCGCGCGGGAATTACCGCGTGATAAATCGCTCAATGTGAATGGGGTCTAAGGATAAGTGCACTTGTAGTAAGAGATGCACTAGCCCACCCCCTCATAACCTAAACAAAGCTAGAACCCCCACATTGCTGCTCACTTAACTGAACATAACATTTGTGGCCTCCCCTGCTGTTTACATTCTCGAGTCCCCAAAAATGTTCATTTCTACGGGAGTTCACTAGGCAGACAGAGCTGGCACTGAAGACTTCCACTGAGTGACTAATGGGAACAAGTATGAAGATCAAAAAAGTCAGTGGTTTTCATCTGCATACTCCCTCTTGGTCAAGGACTAAGAAACCACTGAACCAGAATAACAGACCGGAAAAGGGAATAATAGTTCCAGAAAAAGGCTGTAATGGCAGCCTCCATTCTTTTTCTGTACACCTAAATAAACATTTGAACCTGAAGCACACTTTAACTTTACCCCCTACCCTTCTCCCCAGCACTGGCTTTACTGGTAAAATGTACTTCTTGGCACCAAAAGTTAAGGTAACCGCTGAGAGGTGAGTGCCAAAGGCACTTCTATTGCTTTATTAACAGGTCTGGAGCTAGGCTCAAAGATCCCACCACAGGGGTCTTTGATATATAAAGAAAATAAATTCACTTAGTCCACCCCATGACATTTCCTATATTTTTCAGCTGTGCACTTGTTTCATGGCTGTTAAAGGGGGACCCATTATCATCCACTAAAATGTCCCTGTTATACTGGGAATACAGTAGGAGGTGTGTGAACAGTATTGAAGGGAGATCCATAGTTGTCATCAAGTAATAGAAGGATGCAGCAGCTGACACACCAGTTAGACTTGTCCTTTACATTTTCCAGCCTCTGCCATAAATTGGCATATATTTGTTTTGGGTGAACTGTCCCTTTTGAAAATGGCTCCTTGCTTTAACCACTAGTAAGAAATGAGTGTGACCTTGTTTAGAAGTAAATATATTGTAATCTCTGAGTACCCACAATACCTTTTTTATTATTTCTTTTATGTTAATGATTTACTATTAATTTATGTGCAATACTACTTGAGCTTGGTTTGTTAAAACTTGAATCCTTGTTTAAATGATAAAGTTATTTTTCCCCCTACTGTGTTGCTTGATAATTATTGAAATCTCCCTTTTTTTTAAAGTTTGGACCAAAAAAAGAAATTCATAAACGCGTGAAACACATCCGTAGTAATGTGTCCACTAGAGGGAAGCAGTGTCTTAGAAATGAAAGGGGGGATATAATATACAATATTTTTATATGTATTTTTTTGTTGGTGTTTAGAACCAGCAAATAATTGATCAGTAATTTTAATAATTGATAAGTAATGAGTGAACTTCTGTTACCTGCTGAGGAGAGAAGCAAGCAGAAATCACATCTAAGGTTACTGGTTAGTGGGCATCTGGTCGGGTGCTATGGCTTAATGCTCTCTGCAAACTCCTGTTCCCACTTGTACCAATTCATGACCAGTTGTTGCTTGTTGTGACAATGTTCTGAAAGTAAAAGAAGGTGCAGGGCCTTACCAAATCCTGGGATGGTGGCTTGCACCTATTATTCCCATATACATTAGCCACCCAGGTCAGATCTATAGCATAGAGCAGAGGTTGCCGATTCATTTTAAAAGGGGTAATAGCTGGTATTGCAGCCATGAGTTTGTTTTAACCCTTTGACTACAATGATGTATAGGACATGTCATTGGTAATCAAAGGGTTAAAGATTGCACACACTGGAAAGCTATAATTGGCTCTAATCAGACTGCAAAAATTGACCATTTTTATACCACTCAGACTAAACCTAGGTACATGGTGTAGATTGGCCCTGCAATAAACCAACAACAGAGTTTGACTTTTAGGTGGAACTAAACTTACAGTGGTGGAGGCGAACTCTCAACATAATGCGCAAGTACGCGCAGCGTATTGACTGTTAATTATGTAAGTGTCAAGAACCAGAAATATTACACGCAGTCACTGCACAACATGTAAGCGTTTTTATCAGTGCACAAAAAGGAGACTAGGCAGGTTTTATAAAACAAATACAAATTGCTGTGTATTTTGCCTACACCTGAAGGGGGAAAAAATAGCACAGATTTGTTGGACAGTGTGTACTTTTTTTTTGTCTTGGATGCAATGTCTGAGGGAGAGCGCAAGCAGATTTTATTTGAAGTCCAAAAATACAGTGCATTTTTTTCTAAGATAGTAGACAGAAGAATTGACAGATTTGGTGTACAGTATGTTCTCCTTTTTGCTAGGATGTAATGTCAGAGAATGAGAGCAGGCAGATTACATCAAAATATAAATGTTTTTTTCCCCCTGAGACTGAAGACAGAAAAATTTGTCTGATTTGCAGCACAGCTTTCAATCTTTTTTGATAGGAAATAAAAAAAAAACTTGTGAATAGTCTCGACATTGGCTCCCTATGCTCGCCTCTCACCCTAATAAAGTATTAAACATGAAAAACATATGAAGAAATAAGGGTTTTTAGAGAGGTATGAGACCAATGCATAGATAAAATGTATCAAAATTGATTGTACATAAAAATAAATATAATAAAACAAATGTAATTGATGCAAATATACAATACCACCAATGTAGTTCGAAATGTCAGAGTTTTTTTTAAAGGAGAACTATGGGGTTAAGGCTTTTCCCCATAGTTCTCCTTAGGGTAACGGGAGGACACAAACTAGCGTCACCCTATGCTCAGTATACCGCGAGCTACAGCTTGCGGTATACTGAGACGCCGCAGCTAAAGCGGATCCCGACAATTATGTCTGGAGCCACCCAGCTGCGTGAGTGACAGCTAGCTCTGCCTATCTAGAGGCAGAGCCAGCTGTACCCTCCCCCGTCCGTTCCGCCAGTCAGCGCTGGCGGGAATGGGGGGATCCAGCCCCTCGCCCGTCACGGCAGAGAGCTGTGACAGGATTGAAAGGTGAGCGAATGCCGGTATGTGTTGGCTCACCTCCCGATCTACTGAGCCGACCTGTGGCAGTCTCATTGTCACAGGTCTGCTAGAACTATGAGGCTGAGTGCAAAGCACTCACCTCATAGTTCTCCTTTAAATGTATGGCCTCCCTTGTACACAATCTGATATTGGAGGCTGTTTGAGCCACAGGTGACATCTAGTGATTCCTTTTGGTATTACACTATATAAAGCATCATGAACCTTCAAATATAATTACACATAGCAAAGTTTCATAACATCTCTAAGTAAATCTGTTCACACAACTAACAGGGTTAATCACAAAAGGGTGAAGAGTTTGCAGACGTGAACAATCTAGGCCAAAATAGTGGATTTGGAAAAATTCTCCAATGCAGCTCACTTTGCAGCTCAGCTATGTTGTCCTAGATTGCCCACTTCTGCCTTCTCCAAACTCTTCACCCTTGTGTGAATAACCCTATAAATGCCTAATGTTGTATTTTTGTTTTTTAAAGGATAAGTCTACCTTTTACACCACGTTTCATGTTACACCCCCCTGTCCTGGCCCAACTTATCTGAATCACAGGGTTTTTAAAAAAAATTCTGGTTCAACTGTGCTCTGCTTCGCACAAGATCAGGATCTGCCAATGGAAAACTACCACTATGGCAGATGCACTTGTAGTTCTCAAAAGAATACAAGTGTGGTGATGTCAGGGGACCAGTGACATGGATACCGAGGTGTAAGTTCTATGTGCTGCGGTACAGATCTTACTGGTGGTATAGTTACTAGATAGTGAGCTGTGTGTGCTGCAGGACATATTGGGGGGAATTTATTAAACCTGGAGCAGCTGTGCATGACAACCAATCAGCTTCTCTGTCTCATTTTCAAATCTTAAAGTGCCCATACACTGTGCGATTATCGCGGGAAATCCCGCAATCGTACGATAATCGCAAAGTGTATGGAAGGCGTGCGATCGTTTTTACTGTACTGTCGCACGTCTTTTGTCTTAGGAGCATGCTAGAAAACCAGCCAAGAATCGTACAATTTTCGGCTGGTTTTTAGCATGATCGTAAGATCAATGCCGCACGGGCCGGTGTGCGCATGTGCACACTGCCCGTTCAGCATTGCGGTCATCGGAAGCCCGCCCCTCAGCAAGTACGATCTGCCTGTCCAAGATGGGCAGATCGTAAGTTTTTTAAATTACTTTACAACCATCGCAAGACTAAGGTCTTGCGATGGTTGTAAAGTGTATGGCCACCTTTACCTGAGCAAACTGAAGAGAGATGTTGATTGGTTGCCATGGGCAACCGCTCCAGATTATGTCTGCTCCAGTTTTAATAAATTCCCTACCATTGTCTTTATTGCACTTCATGTAGTATTTTGTGTATGTAATAAAGCCCAGCTCTCAGCTACATTTTTTCCTAATGTTAAAAATGTTATTTGTAAGTTTTATCCGGAGCTGACCACTTGCCTTCCAGCTGATTGTAAATAAACGGCCAGATGGCGGACGCTAAGTAGGGGGTGGGCATTTATAAAAAAAATGTCCTGCTCCCGCACACCACCCTCTGCATGATCGTCAATATGGGAAAGTATGACAAATTACAGCCTTGCTGAAGATCCGCCCCATCACTTAAAGGGTGCAGGTTGTGTACGGCTATCCAGGGCTTTGCTGTATTCCGTGTGGGCCCGGGACTGGCACGGCAGGCTCTGTGGCTTGATCGGAGGGAAGATCAAAACATTCCAGTGGCTGAGCTCCCATCCGATCACTGAATGCGGAAGTGATGTGAACCTGCTGTAGACCTCTGATGTCTCCATGAAGAGGACTTGTCACATCCACTGTCCTATTATATAGGGGGCTTATTACCCCCCTATGTGATAGCAATAAAGTGTTTAAAAAAAAGTAAGTTTAAAAATTAAAGACAAATATAAAAAAAACAGCCCCCACCTACATGCACATACATTCTCAAACAGTCGTCGGGTGTGTCTAAGTGCAATGATGAGGATTGCGTCACACGTTACATATCACTGCGAACGCCAGAATGTGAGTAATAATTCAAGGCCCATTAATCACACTAAACTGATGAGCGGTAAAAGCTTTTGAAGCGTCGCCTCTCGGCAATTTTGGATATGGTAGTTTTTTGCGATTTCGCGCTCACACGCAGTTTTAAGGCTTGATATGTTTGGTGTCTGTTTACCTGATGTGACCCCATATTTGACGTTTTAACAACAAAATGGGTAATATGTTTCATAACAAAGTAGGGGAAACCTTTTATTTTTCACAATTTTTGGTACTTTTTTTCTTTACAGTATATCATAAGAAATAAAAACCCCAGTTGTGATTAAACACCGCCAAAAAAACCCTCAATGTGTCCTCAAAAATGGTATAAAATTAATTTCAGTAAAGCGTTGTATGATGGAATAAATGTCAGTCAAAGTACCGCAGCGCTGAACACTGAAAAATAGCCTGGACCGGAAGGGGGTTTAACAACCCAGTCATCATGTGGCTAAAGCCTCTCACGTTCTGCATGCACTATTTTTTACGATCGCACCGGACCGCAGGCATTGCTGTACCGTGCGTTTTGGTGTGGGCGATTGCACTGTGGGCAAGAGGCGTGTCTGCAATGCCATTGACACGAATGGCACCTCCGCTGTGGGAGGCTTAATTGATGCAATCCAGTGTGTTCCGGCCACTAACCGTGCCTGAACGCACTGAATGTGGTGTGAATCGGCTATTAGTGTTTAGTACATAGAGTCCTGAGGGGTGGGGAGCATGGAGCCCAGAGCGGAGAGTTAAAGGAGAACTATGAGGTGAGTGCTTTTCATTCGCCTCATAATTCTAGCCGACCTGTGACAATGAGACTGTCACAGGTCGGCTCAGTAGATCGGGAGGTGAGCGAACACATACCGGAGTTCACTCACCTCTCGATCCTGTCACGGCTCTCTGCCGTAACAGGGTAGGGGCTGGATTCCCCCCGCTCAGATCCGCCAGCGCTGACTGGCGGAACAGACAGGGGAGGGGGCAGGTACAGCTGGCTCTGCCTCTAGATAGGCAGAGCCAGCTGTCAGTCACGCAGCTGGGCGGATACAGACATAATTGTCGGGATCCACTTCAGCTGCGGCGTCTCAGTATACGGTGAGCTGCAGCTCGCGGTATACTGAGCCTAGGGTGACTGAAGGACGCTAGTTTGTGTCCTCCCGTTACCCTAAGGAGAACTATGGGGAAAAGCCTTAACCCCATAGTTCTCTTTTAAGCACCATCACAGAAAATGTACTTGTACTGGATGAAAAGGAAAATGCTACACTAAGCTCTGTAGCTTGTAGTAAACAGCATTCACCTCCCCTTTCACGTGATCATTTTTATAGTGCTACCAGATCCTCCTAAAACTCCCATCCAAACACTGATTTTCTGAGAGTTGGTATTTATATAGACCTATGCACATCCCTCCTCATATATTGTGCTCAGGCCGAGTGCCTTTTCACCGTTCCTAAGATAAGGAATTTTGCAGGACTCTGATGGTAGTGGATGGTAAAGCTTAGCACAGGTAGACAACCTTGGCATAAAAGCTGTTGTGGAACTAAAAGTCCCATGAAGCATTGCAAGACTCTGACAGCATGACTTCCTAAGGTAGAGGATGATGGGATTTGTAGTTTCACTACAGCTGCCATACCAAGGTTACCTAAACCTGGTGTAGCACCTTATGGGTCCTACTACAGCATAAGGCCTCATTCACATGAGAAAAGGTCGGCATGTACGCCGCCCTACGCTCACCCCAAGTGCAGGTCCGTACGGGTGTCCCTGCTGGGATGCAGACAGGATCTATGCTGTCAGCGTATGAGTACGGACACCCGCAACGGCACGGGCGTGCAGGGCGGGTGGCGTATGGCCGTGTACTCCCATAGAGAAGGACAGGGGCTAATCACACGCAGCACCTGTCCTTCCCGGGAGCTGCCCAATACGGCCGTACACGCAGCACGGATCTGTATGGGCTGGCCTTTTTTCGTGTGAATGAGGCGTAAGCCAGCGATCTTATCTTGGTACATTTCATTTCTAAAGAAGGTTTTCTTTAAGGACCTTAAAAAAGCTGCTAAAAGTGAATTAATTACTGTACACGCCTAGCGCTAATGAGACCCATGTAATAAAAAATGGAGCAAAGGAAACTGGAGCAGACGGGATTCCTATAACAATCTGGTTTCCACTTTCATACTGCAGGAAAATAAAAGGGGAATCCTATTGGTTGGTATGATAAGAGCTTCAGATTTCTTTGTTCTGGTTTCCATAGCTATGCCCCAATGACTCTATTTCATGAGAGGCAGACAGTCTCTGCATTGAAGTATCAGGCTCAGCACACGGCAGACATACGTCAGCGGTTCACCTGTGGCTGCAGTTGCCAAAAGCGATCTGCTAAACTGAAATGAGACCAGACACAGCAAAAGCTGAAGGTAATGAGGGCTAGCATGTGGCCTGTGAGTGGGGAAATGGTGATCTTCCAATAGGGGGGTTCAAAGACTGATCATCTTTTCTTCTTGTGTGTGTGGAAGATTCTCTTTATAGAAGACCTACACTTAAAGAAGAACTCTGGGATTTTATAAAACAACCTTTGCGGTGCAGGGTAGCACCACTGCAAGGGTTAGGGCTCATTCACATAGCTAAATGTTGGCACGTACAGGTCCGTGCGGCGTGCACGGCCATATCGGGCCGATCCCGTGTGATTGTACGCAGGAGCCTGTTCTTCCCTATGGGAGGACGCGGCCCCACAACGCCGTACGCTCACCCGAACTGCACATCCGTGTACGTGTGGGTGTCCGTGCTCAGATGCAGATAGGATCCATCTTGTCTGCATAGGAGTATAGACACCCGCACAGGGCCGGATTTACTCTTTCTGCGGCCCCAAGGCCAGGTTCCTCAATGCGCACCCCTACCCACCAAGCCCCCCATGGAGAATGGCAGACCTGCAGGCTGCATACAAGTGATCTTGGCGACATTGCTGAGATCACTTGTACAAAACAAGCGGCGGCTTCCTCGCTGTATATTTAGCTCTGCTTGCCCAAAGCAGGGCTACATGTAGATGACAACTACCCATCCGGTGCCCGGAACTGCATCTCCCGGGCATCGGGAGATAGGAATTCCACACCCCTGCTGCCCCTCTACTCCCTGCGCCCTTGTGGGAAATCCGGACCTGCACCCGCGCGGATGTGCAGCTCGAGTGAGCGTACGGCCGCGTCCTCCGATAGAGAAGAACAGGCTGCTGCGTACGACACATATCACCTGCGCTTCCCGGAAACGGCCGTGCACACCGCACGGATCTGTACGGGCCGACATTGAGCTGTGTGAATAAGGCCTAAGAGCTTGTTTGGGTCTGGGGACGGAAATAAAGACAATATACTCACCTGATTCTCGATCCTGCGGCTGTCAGCGCTAACCTCTCTATCCTTCCACTCCGGCTGTGGAATGTCGCTTGGCGTCCTCATGTCTAATGCAAGTCAATGGACCAGCATTAGATGTGCGGATATCCGTGGTCCTTAGATCGCCAGAGGCCAGGGAAGAAGAAGCTGTGAGGACTGGTTTAGCAGCCAGGGGGGACCGAGGATATATGAAGGTGAAGAGAGGAACATTAGAATGAATCTGTTGCTTTGCAATAATGAAGAGCTCTGGGCAAATAAAACAACTTACCCTTGTAGTGCAGCTACCCCCACCTTGCAAGGGTTAAGTGCTCGTTTTGTCTAGGTGATTCCAATCAAGCAATTTTATTTACCTGATCCCGGTTTCAGTGGTGGTCAGCACTCACCTCTCTCCCTCTCCAGCTGTGGTATACCCCTTGGTGCCTTCACATTAAACGTACGTCAGTGGGCCAGCATTAGATGTGATGACGTCAGCAGTCCTTAGCCCACTGGAGAAGAGGCTGTGGGGACCAGTCTAGCATCCCAGAGGAAGCTGGGATCAGGTAATTAAGTCTGCTTTCTTCCAGCCCCTAGACCAGGGGTAGGCAACCTTGGCTCTCAAGCTGTGCTGAAACTACAAATCCCATCATGCTTCTGCCTCTGGGAGTCATGCCTGTGGCTTGCAATGCCTTATGGGATTTGTAGTTTCAGCACAGCTGGAGCACTGAGGTTGCCTACCCCTGCCCTAGACCAAAACAAGTACTTAACCCTTGCAGTGCAATGGTAGCCCCACTACAAGGGTAAGTGGTTTTTGCTTGAAATTCTTTAAAATTTTATGTTTCAACCCTAATCAAAATAATTCAACAAGAAGATAAAGGCAAAAATCAAAACCAAATGTCTTTTTGGCGAAGAAACTGGTGGCAGGTCATGCGTGATTGGTCCCTGCTGGAGAGCAATGTGCAGACAGGCCTATGTGACCCTCCTCCAGCAAGAGGTAGGAGATTGGTTTCTTCCCAAAGTCCCCATTCACACGAGTAACAGCCTGCCCGTATGCACATCCGTACGGGTGTACCTGCTCGGACGCAGACAGGATCCATCCTGTCTGCGTACGAGTATGGCCACCCGCACCTGTACGGACGTGCAGTTCGGGTTAGCGTAGGGCACCGTGCGGCCGCGCACTCCCATAGAGAAGAACAGGCTGCTGTGTGTAATCATGCACGTGGCACGGATCTATACGGGCCGGCTGTTACTCGTGTTAATGGGGGCTAAAGGTAAATGTCCGATATGTACTTGTATCTTTTTTGTTATTTCATGGACTATTTCTCAGCTAAAGGTAATCAGTTTGCAGCAGGTGTTGGGTGATTACCTATCAGTGAGCCGTGTGTGTGCACACTGCTGGCTGCCAGATGAAGGAGTGTATATGGAACATACAATCGTAGTGGCATCTTGAAGGAAAGTTTTCAGCTCCAAAAGGTAAAAAACGGTTACATTTATCAAGTATATAATAATGGTTTGTCTGGGATCCTAACCTAAAACATGACTGGTGTTAATTTCTTCAAGAGGCATAATTCCTGCTTTTGGTCAATAGCATTATGGCATATTATCTGAGATGTTTGATTAGACGTTCAGCGGGGACATATCTCAATTCTAATGCAAGCAAGGCAATGCTAACGTACTCTAAAAGTTCAGATTTGTTCCTAAATTCCTCCCTAGGTGCTCAAAACTAGCACTGAAACAAAATCAAACCTGCCATTGACCACTTCTTGTGTTTGGATGGAGAATCTGTCTCTGCTCCAGTGCTAGATCTGTTTTCTGCCCAGGATTCCAGGCATATGGATTGCAAACTCACAGAAAACCTGTTGCTGAATTGCCTTGATAAATATCCCTCACTGTCTGTGGTACTGTTTCAATGCTGAATTTCCTATAAAAAGTGTAACCTGCATGCAAAGTCTGTATCCTACATCGCTTGGCTACAGCTCAGCCATCAACTCATTGATGGTTTATGATCTTGGGGTCTGAAATACTGCTTGTGATTTCTTCATAACTGTACATTATCCAAACTGCAACTGGCAATGACTATATAAACCTGATCAAATGAACTGAAGGTAGAGCTGCTGCTCATAGGAACTAATCAGAATTTATGTTTCGATTTCCAATAATAAAAAAAAATAGACTAAGAATTTCATTGGTTGCGATTTGTAAAAGTTGGCTTTTTGTCCCCATGTCATACATCTGCCCACTTTTTCTCTACTTCTAGGTGTGCTGGAAAAGTTATTTAACGTAAGTTGTCAGATACAACACTGTGACACCCATAAGACCTGCTCAAGGCATGCTGGCACAGTGCTGTATCTTGCCATAATCCCCCGTTCATACTTGAGCGTGTTTTCTGGTGATTTTGTTTTTGCACTTTTTTAAGGCATGTTAATGCTTGGGTGTTTGTTTTACCCAATGGAAAGCTAGCTACTAGGTGGAGGAGAGAGTTAAGGTGCCCATACACTGCACGATTCTCTTTTGAGAATCGCTGGAAATCCTGCGATCTTACTTATCGGCAGCTGTCATCTCCCCACACCTGCTCCTCCTTACTTCTTCTCCCCGCGTCCCTGTGTCGATCGTGGATGTGGGCGGGCGGTGAGCGTGAGGAGGTGCGGCATGTGGATGCGGGCGGGTCTGGCAGCAGCGAGCGTGAGGTGGGGAGGAAGTGTGGCGCGCAGCCGTGAACAGGGCCAACCAATCGGAAGCCGATTAATCGATGATTGAAAAAGTTGACAACTTTTTCAATAATCGATTATAATCGATTATGTCGATTAGTTGTTGCAGCCCTAGTTTCAATGATGTTTGGGAGACAAATGCCGAACGGGCAGGTGTGCGCCCATTCGGCATTTGTTCCTTAGACAAAAGATGTGCGACTGTACAGTAGAAACGGTCGCACGTCTTCATTCACACTGCACGATTCTCGTACGATCGTGGGATTTCCCGCGATTCTCGAACGACTAAGGTCTTGCGATGGTTGTAAAGTGTATGGCCACCTTTACCAGGAGCAAAATCACTCTGTTTTCACATGCTGCAATTAGGTCTATGGGATCAAATCACACATTATGCTTTGAAAAGCTCAGGTACTTTTTTTAAGCAACACAACGCTTAGCTGTGAATGGGCACTTTTAAAAAAAAATGTGGGTTCTTCATGTTGAGCGCTGTCACGCATTGGGAATTGTGTGTGACATGGGGGCTTGGAAACATTTACCACTATAGCTGAAAGTGCTTTTTTTTTTTTTGTTTAACATTATAGCCCCATTTGGATGAACTGAGCTTGCCTGTGTTATTGTGCTGCATACTAAAGTGTCACATTAAAGTATAAAGTCAAATGTATTTATTTATAATTTTGGAAAGTGTAGTGAGATCTTCTCTAGCAATGTGAGGCCTGTGCTTTCCCTTCTTGCTGCTCTTCTCTACTAGACATTTTCCTGATCAGGAGTCTTCAGTCTTCTCCATTGGCTGACCACAGATAATGTAACTCCCATGTAAGTACACAGGAGTTAGTTTGTCCCAGCATTTGGCACACACAGAACTCGGTGTACACCTAGAAAAAGCTTTACCAGCACGGAAATCAATTTTTATCAGCAGGGCAGAAAGTATAAATCTGGCACTTTTTTCACATAGTAAGGTAAAGCAATGCCTGTGGGAAAGAGAACCAGGGTTCTGTGAAACTCTGCGGTTTTGTTAGAGCTTGCTTGGGGTTCTTTGAGCAGTAAACAGTGGTGGTTTGAGATGCCGCTCAAACCATCACCACTGTTGTGAGAAGTCCAGCTTTCTATTGACATGCCATGTAAGGGGGCACCTCTTCGTCCAATTGGCAAGGGGACACACCTCTATAGTGACTCTATAGATAGTGACACCCTTTATAGATAGTGACTTTAATGTACGGAGGCACCTCTTTCTATACTGACCTTAGTGTAAGAGGACACCTCTCTCTATAGTGACTTTAATGTATGGGGGGCACCTCTCTCTATAGTGGCTTTAATGTAGAGGTGCAGCTGTCTCTATACTGACTTTAATGTAGGGGGCAGCTATCTCTATACTGACTTTAATGTAAGGGGGCACCTCTCTCTATAGTGACTTTAATGTAGGGGGGCCGCTCACTCTATACTGACTTTAATGTAAGGGGGCAGTTCTCTCTATACTGACTTTAATGTAAGGGAGCACCTCTCTCTATAGTGACTTTAATGTAGGGGGGCAGCTCTCTCTATAGTGACTTTAATGTAGGGGGGCAGCTCTCTCTATACTGACTTTAATGTAAGCGGGCAGCTCTCTCTATACTGGCTTTAATGTTGGGGGGCACCTCTCTCTACACTGGCTTTCGCATAAGCGGGCTGACTTTAATGTAAGAGGCATTTCTCTTCGCTGACATGCATTGCAAGTGGGCATGTCTCTCTACTGACCACCAAATGGCACTACAATTTCCACTGTCTGTGTCTCCTTTCAGGCCAATTATAATGAGTTGCTTTTTATGGTAATTACTAAAAATAATTTTGCCAAGTACAGATGTTCCCTGAGACCC